CAAAATTGTTTTACCCTGGAGCGCTCGGTTTTCTGCGTATTCTTGCGTTCCTAACTTTACCGAAGTTCATTGCTTCGTGGTTTCCCAATCCGGGGAAGAAGGTGGTGAAGTTCTTCACCGACGTCGTTAACACGACCGTCTCTCACCGCGAGAAGCACCCAACGTCCGTGCGAGACTTCTTGCAGCTGTTGATGGACACGAAGGACAAGGACGGTAACCGCGTGCTCAGCACCGACAGCATTGTCAGCCAGTCGGTGTTGTTCTTCCTTGCCGGGTACGACACGACGGCCACGCTGCTGACGTTCGCGTCGTACAGCCTGGCTGTCAGTCCCGATATGCAGCGCCGGGCGCAGCAGGAGGTGGACGATGTTTTGGCCAAGCACGGCGGTCAGATGACGTACGACGCCGTGCTGGATATGACGTACCTGGACCGGGTGCTCTTGGAGACGCTGCGCCTGTACGCGCCTGCCACGCGACTCGAGCGCGAGTGTACCAAGGATTATACTCTGCCCGGCACGAACGTGCACCTGCCCAAGGGCACGTTGGTGCAGATACCGGTGCTTGTGCTCCACCGCGACCCGGACCACTACCCGGACCCGCTGCGCTTCGACCCGGACCGTTTCTTGCCCGAAGAGAAGGAGAAGCGCCACCCGTGCGCCTACCTGCCGTTCGGCCAAGGACCGCGCAACTGCATCGCCATGCGGTTCGCGCTGTTCGAGGCGAAGGTGGCGCTCGCGGCGCTGTTGCAGAAGATGACACTGCTTCCGACGGAGAAAACGCCCCCGCCGCCGATGCCACTTGACAAGAGGTCGTTTTTTACTACACCCGAGGGCAGGAAACTGCCCCTGAAGGTGGAGCTGAGGGCTAGGGACGACTGAGACATGACAACGCCTCTGCATGAGTGTTGGCAGATCGTGAGCCTTCTGAATAATTCGTTATCATGGCATAGGATTGCCTAAGGATGTTGGGGAACTGTATTACTTATTCACAACAGACATATGAGTAAGTGAGTGTTAGCAACGTGGCTTCATGTAATTATGTTTTTCAGATAAAAGTACTTGATCTCACGTTATCCGCTGCGGCTTACCTGTCGTAATAAAACGTGCTTCGTACCAGCATGATGCCCATGGTAAATACATTGCTGTGTATATCAGCTGGCAGTGTCGAAAAATTTTGGAATGGGTTTTAAGCCATCACTTGCATGACAAGAATGAACATGTTGGAAACGCGTGATGAATGTATCATATACACGGGCATGGGTAGCAGTAGAATCGGGGTGGTCGCAGAAACCCTTAACAAAAACACAAAACGATTGCAATGCTGGCAGACAATGATACGTGCTGGCTTTTGTTTTGCCCCAGCGACTTAAAGCCATTGCCGGGATTGGGGGAGCTAACTTCAGGCTTAAGACCAGGCAAAAAGCTACCCTATGCCGGCTTGTGCTACCCGGCGCAAAGCACGGGACAGGGGTAAGCTACGTTACGTTCAACCGGCTAATGCTGTGCGGTATCAATGTCAGAAAAACGCGCGCAAAACTACTTTAAACCTGTTGATTTCGTCCCGTAGCAAATGCAAAGTAAAACACGACACACACACACACACACACACATTCATTGTATTGAACAATCACACTACGCTTGGATGACAGACGACCACCTCATTCCCGCAAAGGTTTCCCCGCACGGCAAACGGCGGGCCCCCGGCTCGGCGGTCAAGTCCGTCATCGCCCTGAACCGGGTCACTCCCCCACACTGAATGAGGGGAGCGGCCCGGTGCGACCTTGTTGTGTTGTGTAATGTAATCCGGGAAAGGTCGTAACTAAAAAACAGCCAGATTCCTAAACCATACGTGCTGGCGAGACGGAAAAGCAGTCAGAGCTACAGGTCAGCGCGGTGCGCACGCCAGCGCGTGCGCACTTCCTCTTGACTGACAAACCAATCAGCCAACAGAAACGTAAGGTCGCCGCGCCGCTCTTGGCGCTCTGCCAGCTCCTAGGCGCTGCGTGCTCGAGTGAGGGTAGGTGTGTTAGCAGTGCTTGGAGAAAGATCCCGGGTGCAGTGTGCGTGGTGCATACACACGCGCATTTGTCGCCAAAGACACCTGGCGGCACTGCTGACACGCGGCAGACTGGGAAGGTGCTGCGCTGACAGTGGGACGATCTGTGAGCGAGAGCTTGGAGCAACGCTTTGTTCGGCTGGCTGCTATCGGCGCCGTGGGCGGTGGCCTCCTGGCTGCTGTCGCCAATCCCACTAACAGTGCTGGTGGCCACTCTCGCCTACGCCTGCTTCAAGTTCATCAAGAATTCCTAGTTCTGGGTTTCACACCGCGTGCCGGACAAAAGCGACGCTACCTTGGGGAAACAAGTTCGGAGATTGGAGCGCTTGGGGAAATGTGCTCGTAAGCCTTCGTCCTTGGGTTCTCTAGCAATACGATTTTTGTGCGTTTTTCTCGAGAGTTTCTACGACCATACCTACTTCACTGCCACCCATGCTCGTTTTGTGAGTCTTCAAGTTATCTTTAAGCTCTTAAACCTGAAGAGGTGCAATGGGGCAGCCAATAGGGAGGGTACTGTGGTTCGAAAGCATTTCTCCTCGAGCTCGCGAGGTCCCTTTTGCTAAGTTGTAGCACTTTAAGACAGCCGTATGACCTCAAACATAAAACGGCTCAGAGTCATCGATGTAGGAGCATGCACCAAAGAAATCCCGAATTAAAAGATCAGGGCGCTATTTCTATTACACATTCAGTTTCCTAGGGGTCGTCTTAGATGTCCGAACTTTACGAGACGGCCGTTTGGGCGCGAAAACTCTCGGAGGAACAGACTTGCCAAAAAGCCGCTACGGGTAGGGGCACCTTGACTGGAACGGCCTCCTATGACCCGATTTAGCACCCCCGCCCCCCGGGCGGAATCCTGTCCACGCTGCTGAAGGTGCGTGGGTAGCCCTTGCCCGACATGGTCCGCATTGACGGTCAAGACTCTGCGGGGGGCCCTATTTTTAGGCCCATAATTTCGTAAACAGGGCCTCTTGGGACGTAAGAGAAAATTCCTTTTAGAGATAAGAACTTAAGAAGAACCCGCACTTCGCCCAGTTTCTTGCCAAAGCTGGTTGCTTGCCAAAGTTGAAGTCTCCTGAACGTATAGACAACTGCATCCCTGCTTTTAAGCTAATATCACAGCAGCAAATGCGATGCAAGGACGGTTGAAACGGTGCTGCATCCATAGTTTTGATATAATACTTTATGCACAGCTATACTTAAGCGTCTTAACAGTCCAGAGCACCAGAACAAGGACAACATAATTTGAGATACTTTAAGCCGGATAGGGCCGGCATAATCGATGTTTACAATTACGCCGACATTTCTACGATTCGATCTTCGTGCGGCGCCAAATCAGGATGAACTATCGGCCGCACGCATTTTTCCTCTTAGAGCACCAAATTGTCTAGTTCAAGGCCTAAAAAGTCCACTGTAGGCGGCAATGTCACACGGCAGCACCCGACGCGAATGAGGTTGGGATCCTAACCTTCCCCTGTCGCAAATCCTGGCAGCCCTCCTCCCGTCTCAAGTGCTGACTGCCCCTGTCGTGAATGGATGACGACTTGAGTCCAATTCCTGCATTCTATTTTTTTTTTTGTAATTCGCATCGCAATCTGGCCCCAATGGCACGTGGTTGGCGATGGGCTTGTAAGTAGCGAGATGTGTGATTGATACTCATGACGCGTGTGTTGAGTGTGTTGAGTACGAAGCAATGCACACCGTGTTGCACGCATGTAAAGTTTCAGTCAAAAGCGTGAACTCGTACATGGACAGTCATGGTTGTAGGAATAAGGGGGAGGGGGGCAGGGGGTCATGACCCTGCACTTTTCAAGGTGGGGGGCAGCAATGTTAACTACCTCCCCCACTTTTCAGATTAAGGTTGTGTTTAGCTTACTTTTGCACCACATTAAACACATGTGCCGATTTGCTTAGTTCACCAGCCGTCCTCCTCAAAATGCGTCATCCTTTTCGTTTGCGTATTGGCCATCGCTTAGTATCACAGCCACAGACCGACGCCGCGCGGCCTATGGAGACTGCAACGCTGGGCGTCGAAGCTGTTGTTGCCATGACTTGCGAGCGCGCATTTTCAAACCACATTGCGTAGTGTTTTTTTTTGTATCAGTTATCAATTCTGCGTGAATCTTGAACCGGTTAAAACGAACATTGATTAGTCATGTTATGCAAATGTGAGACCCCATTTCATTTGCAATCTACGTTCAGGAAGTCTCGATATCTCTGAAGAGCACAGAAAGACATGAAAATGTAGTTTATGTGACAATTATTGGACCACCTGCGGCTATCAGGGATGTTGTTGTATCAGTGATGGTTCCTCTGCTCATTTGGGGCCAACTGCGCGGGTCAGAAGACCTCCCGTGTCAGGGAGGGGAACAACATGGTATGATGCATCCTTCTAATGACCACCGAATAGACCAGGAGATCCCGCCCCGTGTCGCGAGAATGACAGCCAGAAGACACTTCGGGATAGGACGGGGTAGTCCTTCAGCCCTTGGCCAGCCGCCCAAACACACAGCAGCAAATTTGCAACGAATGCAGCAAAACTGTTTAACCCTGGAGCGCTTTGTTTTCTACGGATTGTTGCGGTACTGACTTTACCGAAGTTCATTTCTTGCTGGTTTCCCAATCCGGGGAAGAAGGTGGTGAAGTTCTTCACCGACGTCGTTGACACGTCCGTCGCTCACCGAGAGAAGCACCCAACGTCCGTGCGAGACTTCTTGCAGCTGTTGATGGACACGAAGGACAAGGACGGTAACCGTGTGCCCAGCACCGCCAGCATTGTCAGCCAGTCGTTGTTCTTCCTTGCCGGGTACGACACGACGGCCACGCTGCTGACGTTCTCGTCGTACAGCCTGGCTGTCAGTCCCGATGTGCAGCGCCGGACGCAGCAGGAGGTGGACGATGTTTTGGCCAAGCACGGCGGCCAGATGACGTAAGACGCCGTGCTGGATATGACGTACCTGGACCGGGTGCTCTCGGAGACGCTGCGCCTGTATTCGCCTGCCACGCGACTCGAGCGCGAGTGTACCAAGGACTATACTCTGCCTGGCACGAACGTGCACCTGCCCAAGGGCACTTTGGTGCAGATACCGGTGCTTGTGCTCCACCGCGACCCGGACCACTACCCGGACCCGCTGCGCTTCGATCCGGACCGTTTCTTGCCGGAGGAGAGGGAGAAGCGCCACCCGTGCGCCTACCTGCCGTTCGGCCAAGGACCGCGCAACTGCATCGCCATGCGGTTCGCGCTGTTCGAGGCGAAGGTGGCGCTCGCGGCGCTGTTACAGAAGGCGACATTGCTGTCGACGGAGAAATCGCCCCGCCGCCGGTGCCACTGGACAAGAGGGCGTTTTTAACTACACCCGAGGGCAGGAAGCTGCCCCTAAGGGTGGAACTGAGGGCTAGGGACGACTGAGACATGACAACGCCTCTGCATGAGTGTTGGCAGATCGTGAGCCTTCTGAATAATTTGTTATCATGGCATAAGATTGCCTAAGGATGTCGGGGAGCTGTGTTTACTAACTAACGAAAGACATATGAGTAACTGAATATTAACAGCGTAGCTTCATGTAATTTATGTCTTTCAGATTGTCGTATTTGGACGTGCTTCGTACCACTATGATGTCCATGGTGAATACATCGGTTTGTATATCAGTTGGCTGTGCGGAAAATTTTGGAATGGGTTTTTAAGCCATCATTTGCATGACAAGAACGAACATGATGGAAACGCGTGATGAACGTATGTTATACACAAGCATGAGTAGCAGTGGAATAGGGATGGTCGCAGAAACCCTTGAAAAAACACAAAGTGATTGCAAAGCTGGAAGACATAATGATACATGCTGGATTTCGCTTTGCCCTGGGGACTTTAAGTCGTTGCAGGGGCTGGGGGAAGTTACTTCTGGCTTAAGACAAAAAGTTACCTTATGCCGGCTTGTGCCATCCGGCGCAAAGCACGGGACAGGGGAAAGCTGTGTTGCGATTAGTCGACGTATGCTGTGCGGTATCAATGAAAAAATTGCGCTCAAAGCTACTTAAAACCGGCTAATTTCGTGCGGTAGCAAATGCAAAGTAGAACACGAGAGACACACACACATTCCTTGTATTCAACAATCACAATACGTTTGAATGACAGACGACCCCCTCATCCCATCAAAGGCTTCCCCGCACGGCAAACGGCGGGTCCCCGGCTCGGTGGTCAAGTCTGTCATCGACCTGAACCGGTTCGTTCCCTCACACTGAATGAGGGAAGCGGCCCGGTGCGACCTTGGTGTGTTGTGTAATGTAATCCGGGAAAGGTCGAAAGTACAAAACACCGGATTCCTAAACGTTACGCGCTGGCGAGACGGAAAAGCAGGCAGAGCTACAGGTCAGCGCGGCGCGCGCCCGCGCGCGCGCACTTTGCTCTCGGCTGACAAACCAATCAGCCAACAGGATCTCAAGGTCGCCGCGCCGCTCTTGGCGCTCTGCCAGCTCCCAGGCGCTGTGTGGTGGAGTGAGAGCGTGTCAGCAGTACTCGGAGAAGGATCCCGGGTGAGGGGCGCGCGGTGCGTACCCGCACGCATTTGTCGCCGGAGACACCTTGCGGCACTGCTGACACGCGGCAGACTGCGAAGGTGCTGCGCTGACAGTGGGACGATCTGTGAGCGAGAGCTTGGAGCAACGCTATGTTCGGCTGGCTGCTATCGGCGCCGTGGGCGGTGGCCTCCTGGCTGCTGTCGCCAATCCCACTAACAGTACTGGCAGCCATTCTCGTCTACCACTACTTCAAGTTCACCAAGAATTTCGACTTCTGGCCCTCACGCGGCGTGCCGGGACCAAAAGCGACGCTACCTTGGGGAAACGAGTTTGGAGTGCCGTTCTTAACACCGGCCGTCGAGTTCGAGCAGTGGCTCTACAGCAAGCACGGGGGCAAGAAGTACTGCGGCTACATGGAGATGAGCCGGCCCGTGCTGTTCGTCGGCGATCCGGACCTGATCCGGGCCATCGCCATCAAGGACTTCGAGTACTTCACCAACCGACGGGACGCGGGTGCCGAGGATGAGCTGAAGGATGCCCTCAGTGTTGTCAACGGGGAGGTGTGGAAGCACACGCGGGCCGTCATGTCGCCCACCTTCTCCGCCAGCAAGCTTAAGGCGATGCACCAGCTGACGCTGGACAACGCTCTCAATCTGAACAAATATGTGTTAGAAGACATGCAGAGCAAGGGAGAAGTTGAAATGAAGGACGCCTTCGGGCGGTTCACCATGGACAACATAGCATCCTGCGCCTTTGGCGTGAGCTGCAACTCTTTTGTTGATCCAAACAGCAAATTTGCAACGAATGCAGCAAAACTGTTTAACCCTGGAGCGCTTGGTCTTCTGCGGATTGTTGCAGTACTGACTTTACCGAAGTTCATTTCTTCCTGGTTTCCCAATCCGGCAAGGAAGGTGGTGAAGTTCTTCACCGACGTCGTTAACACGACTGTCGCTCACCGAGAGAAGCACCCAACGTCCGTGCGAGACTTCTTGCAGCTGTTGATGGACACGAAGGACAAGGACGGTAACCGCGTGCTCAGCACCGCCAGCATTGTCAGCCAGTCGGTGTTGTTCTTCCTTGCCGGGTACGACACGACGGCCACGCTGCTGACGTTCGCATCGTACAGCCTAGCTGTCAGTCCCGATGTGCAGCGTCGAGCGCAGCAGGAGGTGGACGATGTTTTGGCCAAGCACGGCGGTCAGATGACGTACGACGCCGTGCTGGATATGACGTACCTGGACCGGGTGCTCTCGGAGACGCTGCGCCTGTACGCGCCTGCCACGCGACTCGAGCGCGAGTGTACCAAGGACTATACTCTGCCCGGCACGAACGTGCACCTGCCCAAGGGCACGTTGGTGCACATACCAGTGCTTTCGCTCCACCGCGACCCGGACCACTACCCGGACCCGCTGCGCTTCGACCCGGACCGTTTCTTGCCGGAGGAGAAGGAGAAGCGCCACCCGTGCGCCTACCTGCCGTTCGGCCAAGGACCGCGCAACTGCATCGCCATGCGGTTCGCGCTGTTCGAGGCGAAGGTGGCGTTCGCGGCGCTGTTGCAGAAGATGACACTGCTGCCGACGGAGAAAACGCCCCCGCCGCCGATGCCACTGGACAAGAGGGCGTTTTTAACTACACCCGAGGGCAGGAAACTGCCCCTGAAGGTGGAGCTGAGGGCTAGGGACGACTGAGACATGACAGCGCCTCTGCATGAGTGTTGGCAGATCGTGAGCCTTCTGAATCATTCGTTGTCATGGCATAGGATTGCCTAAGGATGTTGGGGAACTGTATTACTAATTCACAACAGACATATGAGCAACTGAATATTAACAACGTGGCTTCAGGTGATTGATGTCTTTCAGATTGCCGTATTAGAACGTGGTTCGTACCAGCATGATGCCTATGGTGAATACATCGGTTTGTACATCAGTTGGCAGTGTGGAAGCATTTTGGAATGGGTTTTAAGCCATTGTTTGCATGACAAGAACGAACATGATGGAAACGCGTGATGAACGTATGATATACACGAGCATGGATAGCAGTGGAATCGAGATGGTCGCAGAATCCCTTGAGAAAAGCTCAAAATGATTGCAATGCTGGAAGACATAATGGTGCGCCCCGACGAGACAGAAAAGCAGGCGGAGCTACAGGTCAACACATGCGGTCTTCCTCTTGGCTAACAAACCAATCAGCCAACAGGAGCTCAAGGTCGCCACGCCACTCTTGGCGCTCTGCCAGCTCCGAGACGCTGTGTGTTAGCAGTGCTCGGAGAAAGATCTCGGGTGCGGGATGCGTGGTGCATACACGCACGCCGGCGTCGTCGAAGACACCTGGCCCTACTGCTGACACGCGGCAGACTGGGAAGGTGCTGCGCTGACAGTGGGACGATCTGTGAGCGAGAGCTTGGAGCAACGCTTTGTTCGGCTGGCTGCTATCGGCGCCGTGGGCGGTGGCCTCCTGGCTGCTGTCGCCAATCCCACTAACAGTGCTGGTGGCCACTCTCGCCTACGCCTGCTTCAAGTTCATCAAGAACTCCTAGTTCTGGCTTTCACACGGCGTGCCGGACAAAAGCGACGCTACCTTGGGGAAACAAGTTTGGAGTTTGGAGCGCTTGGGGAAATGTGCTCGTAAGCCTTCGTCCTTGGGTTCTCCAGCAATACGATTTTTTTGTGCGTCTTTCTCGAGAGTTTCTGGGACCATACGTATTTCACTGCCACCCATGCTCGTTTTGTGAGTCTTCAAGTGATCTTTAAGCTCTTAAACCTGAAGAGGTGCAATGGGGCAGCCAATGGGGAGGGTACTGTGGTTCGAAAACATTCCTCCTCGAGCTCGCGAGGTCCCTTTTGCTAAGTTGTAGCACTTTAAGACAGCCGTATGACCTCAAACATAAAACGGCTCAGAGTCATCGATGTAGGGACCTGCGCCAAAGAAATCCCGAATTAAAAGATCAGGGCGCTATTTCTATTACACATTCAGTTTCCTAGGGGTCGTCTTAGATGTCCGAACTTTACGAGACGGCCGTTTGGGCGCGAAAGCTCTCGGAGGAAGAGACTTGCCAAAAAGCCGCGACGAGTAGGGGCACCTTGACTGGAACGGCCTCTTCTGACCCGATTTAGCACCCCCGCCCCCCGGGCGGAATCCTGCCCACGCTGCTGAAGGTGCGTGGGTAGCCCTTGCCCGACATGGTCCGCATTGGCGGTCAAGACTCTGCGGGGGCTCTATTTTTAGGCCCAGAACTTCTCAAACAGGGCCTCTTGGGACGTAAGGGAATGTTACTTTTGGAGATAAGAACTTAAGAAGAACCCGCACTTCGCCCAGTTTCTTGCCAAAGCTGGTTGCTTGCCAAAGTTGAAGTCTCCTGAACGAAAAGACAACTGCATCCCTGCTTTTAAGCTAATATCACAGCAGCAAATGCGATACAAAGACGGCTGAAACGGTGCTGCATCCATAGCTTTGATACAATACTCAGTGCACAACCATCATGCTTACGCGTCTTGACAGTCCAGAGCACTAGAACAAGGACAGCATAGTATGGGATAATTTATGAAAGCTAGGCCGGCATAAGCGACGTTTACGATTACGCCGCCATTTCTACTATTCGATCGCCGTGCGGTGCCAAATCCGGATGAACTATCGCCCGCGTACATTTTTCCTCATAGAGCACCAAACAGTCTAGTTAAGCTCCTAAAAAGTCTACCGTCGGCGGCAATACCACACGGCAACACTCGAATGCGATTGGGGTTGGGATCCCAACCTTTCTCTATCGTAAATCGTGCCAGCCTCCCTCCCGTCTCAAATGCTGGCTGCTCCTGTCGTGAATCGATAGCAACCTGCGTCCGAT